AATTAAGCAAACTGATGCCAGCAGATAAAATATGTGAAATTAAATCTCTGACACTTTTTATTCAGGGCTCGCAGATCTAGGATGTCCTGCTGTTGAGAAAAGTAGTAATTACGTGTTTTTTTTTGTCACTAACGCTCGGGAGGACGCGTACGAAGATGTCGCTTGCCGACTGCGGACGGTCAGACGGTCGGACGGACATTTCGTTTGTATGACCCAAGACTTTCAGTCAAGGGAATAATTCATTAAAAAACTATGCCAGAATCAACACATATGTTGCGACACAACTTAAGTCAAATTACCGGGCAAAGTTTTAGGTTTGTGCAAGAAATTTCTGGTCAGACTTTAAATTTAAATTTCTTGGACCAACTTCAAATTTGAATTTTGTCCGGTAAAATTTAAATTTGACCTGATTTGAAGTTTGTCCGCAACATATGTGTTATATGCAGATCTTTTCAGCTAAAGACGATGAACGGGTTTGTAATAAAAACATACACAGTAAACGATTTTTTTTCAGCTAGCGGCTAATAGCTTTTGCTATTCTTTATCCATATGTAAAGCATATACTACCACGTTTCTGCACATGACTCACACATTTACCAATATATATGCATTGGATTCAGCATTATGAAAAGCCTATTTGGTATCACACCTAACACGAAAAAGGCAAAGTTCAACTTTGAAGAAAAACTTATTGCTACCATTTTTTGGGATGGGTGTCCAAAAAATCCTTGAGAAGTTGCTCAAAAACGCTTCTTATCGAGGCAAACTACATATGTTCTTAAAGTAGACATTTAAGCAGACAACGCATACATACATGACAAAAATCAACCGGGCTCGCTGTTCTGCAGCCTTGTTTGTAATCACAGTATGTAAGGAAACTGTCCAATAAATTGTGATCAGAGGAGGCGTTTTAACTACTATGAGTGTACTCAACATGTTTTCTTGGATTTGTAGAATCAACAAATGCAAATCTACTCATAATATTATGACATTTGAATGTGTTTGGATATCTCATATGTTCTATTACTTTCATGTCTGTTGTCATGTGCTGTAGATATTGCTCTGATAATCCAAAGGCATACATTGATGCACACCAACCTTTAATAATCTGTTAACTTAATAATGGGTTAACTTTGGTTTTTGCGAACTTTTCGACTGAGATTCCTGATACAAAATCAGAGTTATCTTCAAACCCTAGAACTCACATCAGTCAATTGAGTTTTAATGCGGATTTCAAATATGACATAAGTTTGACGGCGAAAACGGCAAAATATGAGTATGTTTCGCTGGTTTTTGCTAAGGTGCGTATCTATGGTGAAAGAAACAGCTATATTTTAGCGAAGAAACAAGCTTGCAGAATCTTTTTTCCGGTTGTGTAAGAGCTATATAGCTACGCAAATTTTGGGTTCGTCTCAACTAGCAGAAGTTGATTCATTTTCCGCGTGCACGAGAGCAGTTTTGACCGTTCGGGAAAATTTAAAATATTTTATGGTCATACCCATGGAGAAATTTTATCGACTTTTCAAGCATGAGGAAGCGTGAAACGTCGCTGCTTCATTTCGCGTGCGCACGGTAAAAGAATGAAATAAGTTAGCTCTATTGGCAGCACGTCTGTCTTTTCCTTTAATGTAAATATTCAAAATTGTATTAGGAAACAGAAACAAAAGAATGTCGATTTCTCCTTATTGGAGCTGTTTTGTTGTGTGATTCCTTCTATCTCTAATCTATTTCTGCTTTTGTACCTATATAAAACTCATTATTTAGTACGTAGTACCTGTGCTCTTATTTCTTGAGGGGTTTACACATTCCTTAAATACACCCTCAAAACTTTGTCAGTTCGAAGAGAATAGAAAATTTGAATTGCCAGTTCCCTTTTCTTTAGAAAGCGTGCAGCTCACGAGGGAACCTTTCCAGGTGTCACACTTCGATTTCCTTCGTTCATTCTAGAGATCTGAAATTTTCAGGCTAGCCAGCAGTCATTTCGGACTTACAGCGCTGAAAATTTCAAGTGTCTACGGCTTTTTTTGCCTGAGTTGTAAGATTTTCGATTTTTGGCTATTTTGGCTACAAAAAATAGAAAATTGCCCCTAACTTTTTAAGGAAGAGCGCTTCGCCCAAATCCTTTTAGACTTTTTACCAGCTCGATGTTCTCTGTCGAGCGACATATGAACGAAGGAAATTGGAGCGTGACACCTGGAAAGGTTCCCTCGTCAGTCCAAAATAATCGTAGAAATGTCATTCTTGTGTAGTTTGATAACCAATGATATGTAGTTAAAGTCGAATAAAATCATTAACGAAAACGTGTTTTTAAGATCAATTTATAATTTGTTAATACTATTTTCTTTATCAAAGCAGGGGAAACATAAAGATTTTTGAATAATGCTTCATAGAGATCTTCGACTTTCAATAACCCAAAGCCAGGACTCTGATGCATCTTTTGATTAAGAAATAAGTTTGAAAATCTTTCCTTCTTTGAAACAAACAATCATAATTACTGTTTTGGAAATTCGAAAAACTTGGCATTATATACTTAAGCGCATTTTCTTATATGAACTTCAGTATCACAAACTCCGCTTTCTAAGGGACAGAGATACAGTTAGAGGGAAAAAATTCTGTCGATTTTTTCCCGTTGACGTTAATGAATAATGTTCAATGATCTTCAATATGATTATCCATCACCGTCTGAGAAACGAATGGTAGTTTTGAAATAGATACAATATCCTTTAATTTTTATAGTATCGTATATCTGTTTAATGGTTACGTAAATCAAGCAACCATTACTTCCTCCAGCTAAGAATGCCACACTTGTTGTATGGTATGCATTTGCGCTAATCAGTTAAGCACTCCAGAGATGTGCGTGACCGTGACCATTTGAGATCACGGTTGTTTCAACTAAGAAAAATGTGGAAATGATTTCTTAGTAGTGTCATGGCCTGACAAAACGTTTTGTGTTGGGTTTTTCACTTGTTTGCTGAATGGTTTGTTTACTACTTCTAAAAAAGAATCTACGTGTGTGTGAGAGTATTTCGAATGCTAAGACAACCGTAGACAGCGAAATGAATATGAGCTCTAACATAACTATTTTTGAAGAAAACTTAAAAAAATTTGAAAAAGATTTCTCCTGATCACCGTTACAGTGACTTTTGCGTGACCATGATCGTTACCTGACTAAAACAGCTTGGTCACGTACATCTGTAACTTTGGTTTCAGAAAATTCAGAGTGAAAAACTACGAAAAATATAATTATATTGATACACATTTTTACATTTTTAAAATTACGTTAAACGGCGGTGCTTTTCTAACACATTTAGTTCCGTTTTTTCTGATCACAGCACAATCTCGTCCCTGCAAGTCGTTGCAGTAGAATCAGTCAGTCAGTTGATTTTGATCATAAAATGGCGAATTGTATCGTCGTCGAGTTAAATACAAAATTTTTTTCTATACATCTGACAGCGATTATTTTTCTGCAAAATAGCGCAAAAATAAGCCTATACTGTCCAGTTTATAATCCTCATACGGAATGACATCAAATGGCGTTTGTTACTAGCAGAGCTTTTCTGAAAATAATTTATTTGAAACAAAGGAAACAACTACAAAAGATATACTCACAAAAAATATACTAATACGCACAATACATAGATATCTTTATGTAACAATCCTGTACTTGTCTCAAAATATCTGAAAATATTCTTGAGTGAATATGATTAATTTATGAAAGTGATAGTTAGTATTTCGCTACAAACGTAATCAAAGCAAAGTAGCATTTATATATTAAACAAAGCAAATCTTCCGTTAATCGTGAGTAAGCTTATAGTTTTTCTATACGTATTGTATCTAAATCATTAATATCTTCTCCTGATAGATTGTCATTGTGTTCATATAAATAACGAAGTACAGCTATTATACAAGGTCCGCAGTTATAAGAATCGTGCTCAAGTATTATCTTTCAGGATCACCTTCATCTAAACTATCAGACGAATCCTCTGCTGACAATTCAGTGTACTCGCTGGAATCAGAGTCCGTAGGCAAATTTGATAAAGAGTTTACTACTTCGTTATAACACACTATTTTCGTAGGAGGTGTACTTTTTTTGATTTTATCAAGATCTTTTTTAACATTTTCAAAAATATATTCTCTTCTTACTTCAGTAACAGTAGCGGATACGTTTGTTTTTGTTATACGATGTATATAGCCTGGATAACGTGATTTCTCAAACTTTCGTTTTCTGATTAACTGATAGCCGGCATTCGAACTTCCATCATAAATTCCATATACATAACCTAGATAAAAATCGTTTTTCTCGGGATCTTTAGGGAGAGTAACGTGTATTCGATCTTTACGTTTTTGAAGTTTGCGTGCACTGGCAAAAAATTCAGCAATTAGTAGTGGTAAACTCCGTTTTTTAAAGTCACTTTTATCATGAGGAAAATTAAAATGAATTCTTGGATATCGTTTTTTCAGCCCTTTTATATTATATGACAGTTTTGTTGCGTCTATCCCATACAGCAGTGTAACACCTTCTTCCGTAAGAAATTTTTCATTTTCTGGAAAATTTTCAGAGTATATCGTTTCCAGGTCTTTTTTACTGACATATTCAGTAGCCGTAATAGCTTCTGGCAATGTGGGATGCTTGACAGCATGCTTCTGAAGCAAAGCTCTCGCATAACTAAAATCGCCTTCGCCAACAAATAATCTTTTCTTGCAACGTATTTTAAATCGTAATTTAACATTTAATTGGTCTAAATACTTTTTGAAATAATCCATACTTTTACCTTCGAACTCTGCGTCTAATTTAATAATCTGGCCATTAATATCTAATAATTGATATATTAAATTATATAATCGTTTTTGTCTTTTAGAATCGATGTCTTTGTCATTTTCCGGTTTCTCATCACCTACTACAACACCTGCTAATGCATCGGCCAAATTATCCACGTCCTTTTCATTCTCCTCATTCGAATTATCAACAACAGACATCTCTGCTTTAATAGTGAAAGATATCTTTAACTAGAAGCAAAGCAAACTTATAACTTATCGATAGTAAACATTTTCGATAAAATATAGCAGCCATAATCCCGAAGTGTTACAAACTCTACACGATGCACTACAATTTACGTTATAATTTCATTATAATCTCGCTATATACGTATTTGTGCGTAAGCTTATGTTCCTCATGCTTCTGTGATGATTATTTATTATTATCTGAAAAAAACGATGTTGTTATGACATAAAGGACTTAAAATAAGTAGCTTTTTATTGAATGATATCATAGTTGTATTCCTTTGTCTATTTTACGTAATTTAGGTTCTTCATTGTTTATCATGAAAAAAAAGTGAAACAAGCAAATTTTTCTTGAAACCTATATGGGTGTGTTTTTTCTCGTTGATACTTCTGAGAACTTAAGAGCCGTTTCATGTATTCTCTTTTTTGCTTCTTACCAGTGAATGGAAATATGTTTATTTGGTGTCTACAGAGGTTGGGTTTTCGCATTTTGTAGAAAAGAGTTTACTCTATCTTCTCAGATATTTGATGTTAAGAATCTCAGCTTTTCAGGTGGTGTACATGATGGGTGGAAAAAATGAGATTGTCAGATCATGAAGTGGGTATGAATTTTTAATTCAAATACGATGACTAGACAACCCAAAGTGTCTTCTACAATTCTGGGCAAGACCGATCTGACTACCTCATATAGTTCTCGGACAGCAGGCATTTCCCTGGGACACCGCTAAGTTCTTATCAATACTTCTGGTAATCTCAAAAATCGATGAAATAGTGGTTATTGATCGAGTTATTCAACAGATAATCAGGATCCCTATAAAAGCCAATACTGATCTTAACTCTTATCAAATCAGTTAAGAATTTTCTGTAAGACTCTTGCAATTTAATCCACGAGTGCCACGATGGAATAATATAATTTGTTTTGTTGGTTTTTCACTTCAAAGCCTCACGCTGGCATTCTGAACCTTCTCTTTAACGTATCATTCATCTTTTTATCTCGAACAGAACATGGCAATAATAATGATGCCTTAGATGCAGAGGAAAAGACTAAAGAGTTGATGCACAGTAATCTTGTATTGTTTGTGATTATATTTTATTTTTGAGAAAGCATTTCACTATTCTAGTTCCTGAATAGTCAAGCTCAAATTCTCAAGCGAATAGTCAAGATCGATAACCAGTTGGTACTTAGGTACGATACTCTAGCAGGCCGAGGGGAAAAATAGCTGAATTGGTCTCGATATATTAATCGTAGGGAAAAAATCACACAAAAACTTAGTGCAAAAGTTACTCCACCAGGACTCTCTTTTCCGATAATACAACATTTTTCGACTTTGAGTAAAATTTTCAATGTCAATGTCGGTCCAAAAAGGATGAAACAAGTACCCTCACCCCAAACAAACGTTGTTTATAGAAGAAGTGTAACTCAATAATAATGAATTTACTAATAACAAAATCGATTGTCTACTAATATTCATGATCTTTTCTGTCTCAATTTTTACTTGAAAAATAGTGCCACTAACTTAGTCCACAAAAAGCCGTAGAAGAAAACCTGTAAACTGGCAAAAGCGTGAAGAAAAAATATCAGGGTAAAAAAGTATAAAAAGAGCGAATATGTATAATACATCTCTGTTTAAACACTAACGTAATTCATTAAAAATAAAAAGCCTGTATTTTAGCCGACCATGCTTACCTTTTCTACTTCGTACGTGTTATAGAAAAGAAAGAAAAATAAAGTAAAAGCTATCGTCTGTACTTTTTATGGCAATAATAAAAACATGTAAGATTAAAGGCATTCAGAAATGCAGCGCTTTTTGTTTTTTCGACTTTTATATATCATTTGATAGAGCTCGTCGAGCTGAATCCGAACACGTGTCGCTTAGCCCTCTGAAAAACTTTTTTGAGGTTCAGAAATTGAAAATCTGCGAAATTTAAAAGAGCACAAAGATCGCCTTATTTTTGATAATTAGCCGGTATCTTTAGAGCATTAAGTGAGGAAGCTCTAAAGCTTTTCTATCCTTAATCTACGCCAAAAACGAATTTAGAAAAAGTGTGTTTGGATATAATTGCAATTACCCTTACCTCGCACAATGTAACGCTTAGTTATTAGGTAAAAATCCCACTTCTCTTGGCGTCAAATGCTTCACCTTTTAAAAAAGAGATGAGGTCAATATTTTCGCATCGTTGTGATCGTCAGATGGACAGGGAAAAAGCTGCGTATCCTTTTTACGAAATTCGCTGGCGTTGCTAAGATAATGCACTTCTCTGGACCATCTTCTTTTTGCACAAAACCGGGCGCCTGATCTGCGAATAAAATTATCAATTTTCATTCAAATTTTATCAAAATTTAGTTTTATAGGTAAAAAATGATCGTAAATCTGATGGAAACATCCTCAGGATCCTGGAAAACCCACCAATGGGTTTTCTAGAGGCCCAGTTTCTAGAAAAACTTTTCAAAAACCGTTTTTTCTCAAAATGGTCTGGATCGATAGAGACTAATTCGACCGTTCGAAAGCGGTAAAACCACAGTTGCTTAGGGCTTATATTTTAATCTAGGCCCGAAACATTTTTAAATCTCTACCTCGCAGCATTCAGAAATTAGCCACGGAAGGCGAACAAGTGGTAAAAATAAATAGGAAAATAGTCGCCAGATTGACTTTTTGAGTTAATATTTGGCATGTGTAGATAGAGCTCGAGTCATTCTTTCAGAGAAATCCGTTTGCGAACGCATAGTACGTTTCTCTGTGACGTCGAGATGCGAACAAACTGTCTGCGTTGAAATTCCGTGACGAAATTTCCATTTTTATGCTGTATAAGCTCAGAGCATCAGCTTTGAAAAAACTAACCTAATATTCTGATAGATCGCCTACCTGCTGAACTAGCTGTTTTGGGATTTTTTTGGGATTTTGAGTGTGAAAACAGTGAGAAATGTAGTCATGGAATTTCATAATCTTACGATAGTCCAATTTTAGGTAAAGTTTCGATCCACTTTTTCCCATGTTTTTACATTTTAAACTTCGAAAAGTACATTTTCGTAATCAGCGTTGAATTCTGAACAAACTGGCGCATTCAATTTTAAAACAACAACTTTCATTTTTGGCTCAATTTCTAGCCGGTTGGAACACGAGTTTTGTCGATCAGTTCAAAGTCAGTTCAAAAGTTAGAGGGGGATCAGTTCAAAAGTTAGAGGGGAAATACGACGAAAAAATGAAATTCCGTGACATTTGGTCGAGCCGTGAAGCAAAATGCACATCAGGTTCAAGTGAGAAGAAATGCCCGATGTTTAAAAGCTATTACGAAAATAAACCACCGGTAATCTTAAAAATGCGGAACAAATGATGATGTAATATCATCCGTATGAGGAAAATTAGCACAGGTCCTAGTTCTATATGCTGAAGATGGTTATGTCAAGTTGTCAGGAGGTATCTAGGGGCATGCGGAATGGTGTAAAAAGTGTGAACAATGGATCAATTAAATGGTTTAGTTTCCAATCTGTGATGTTAATCTAAAGTACAATAAAATATAAACGTTTTTCATGCAAAATGAAAACAAGAATAAGTGTATAGAGTGTTTGAAATTAATTGTTAACTCTTCATTTTCTTTCGACTATCTAATGACGTTTAGTGGATACGATTTACCATATGCTAAAGTTGTCGACTGATTTTGATGTTTTCGAGTAGAGTATCTCTTCAAGTTTTCCAGAACTAAATCAAGGATCTTCTTAAGAGAATCTTCATCAGCAAAACTTGATGTAGTAAGGTAGCCCGAAGGGAAATTATATTTTTTATTCTTTTTTGTCGCATTCGAAAGACCATACAAAATAATCACCAAGCCTGCAATAACCCTTCTTGAAAATGTAATTTAAAGAAACGAGAGACCGATCACTCTATTGAGGATCACTCGTGCTACCAAAAAACGTTAAATTTTCACAAATGTTTGCATTTTCCCATTTTCTCAAAAAAAAAAATTTAAATATTCTCTTCCGCATTCTCAAGCCAAAATAATGAAAGGATGGTTTTAAGTATACTATTGTTTGTTAGAGCTAAATTTTCGCTTAATTCTTGATAACTATCAGCTACAAGAGCGTCTGCTCCTATTGTTCGCATTTGGGGATTTTATCAAATTAAACCAAATTTATTCAAACATAGGCCAAAAAGTAAAAGCTTCAGAACAGTAACTACCATTTGAGTTAGAGTAACTGATAAGAAGTTTTATAGGTTCCAAGACGCAATTCATATCTAATTATCCCTGAAATGACAAAAGCGACAAACCTAAACGCTTTAGGATATAGACTAGAGACAACAAGGAATAAAATGGCTCATTAAAGTTCTGATGCTTGAAGGATCCCGCGTTCTCCTCGTTGCAAGTATAAGTAGAGTTAAAAAAACAAGAATTTGATTCCGTTTCTTATGACAGAGAAAATATCTTCCCGCTTTTAAACCAAAAGAGAAGACTACGAGAACTGTTACAGTAAACAACTGTACAAAATTTGACTTAAAGAAGCTAAAGAAAGTGAAATCAAGGTAGTTTTTTGTCCTGTCAGCGTGAAAAATAGAGTAGATTGTAGATTTTTAACATTGATTCAATAACTACCTGGCTTCGACGTAATTGGCTAATCGTTTAGAAACGCTGCGTCGAATAAACGCAGTTCAAAAATAAATTTTATGTGTTTGATCAAAGTTCTATCATCTAACTACGGTAGTTCCTGATCAACTTTCTCCCTAGATTCTAAACTAATTTTGTTCGTTGCATTTTCTTAGTTGTTTGATTTTCTTTATTGTGCACTTTTTACTTTTCCAATGTCCTTGTATCAAAAATATTTATTGAATATAAAAAAAATAGTACCAAAAAACCATAATGTGGCAAACCAGACGAACAAAAAACCACATGTGCACGATTCATGCAATCGAACATGTATTCTTCATATGTTGAAGCAATTTCTAAAATAGAAAATAAGGATAGAAATCTAGCAATAATGCTAATATGTGACGTATTTCGTATAAAAGAGAGATGTCGAACAAGAAAATAGTCCTCTTTGGAGTAGACATATTTCTTCAAAACGGGATGCTTTCGAGCTTTGTGTGATCGACGCTTTTCACCTTCTGTGAAATGTGATTGCCTTTCATTGAATTGCTCATTGATATATACACCACTACCACTCATTTTATTCACTAAAGTTTTGTTTCTTGAATCTTCGCAACGATAACATAGCTCGAAAGCGTCCTGTTTTGAAGAAAAACGTCTACCCCATAAGAATCACTTGTTTTTAGACCGCTAACTACTAGTTTATAGTTTAAAAATTAAAATTTGTTCGAAAGATGGTACTAAATAAGATTTGAGAGGACTAAAAGGAACCTCATTTTGCTGAGTGCTTATACTGTCCTCAATCCTATACTTGAAAAATATATGTGAAAAATGAAAAGAAAAAAGGGCTCTAAACTTTTGTCCACTACTTATGGTTTTCAACGTGCTCTTGGAACATTGGTTTTCTAGAAATCTTCCGAAGTACAACGATCGTTTTTACTATTCTCAAGTAACAAAACATGCAGAGCAGGTAAAGTAGAATACATCTTGATATTTTGACGTAATTTGGATGGATCTTGACTGGGTTACGAATCTTTTAATTTTACTCAAAAACACAAGAAACTCTCTTCAAAAGCTGCATATTTCTGCACAAGAATTTCATTTATTTTTCTAAAAAATTTGCTGTTTCTCGTGGAGAAACATACCGTTTTTCGAGAAAAAGTATGAAGTTCTTGTGCAGAAACAGCCAGTTTTTCAAGAGAAAAGATGAAGTTCTTGTGAAAGAGTCGTGAAGAAATAATTTCAAGCTGCCATTTGAACAAATTATTAGTCATCATAGAAGGAGGAAATCGAGACAAATGTTACTGTCATTCACATAAAAAATCTTGCAAAAAATAAAAACGGAAAATTTAAATATTTTATTGAATTACTCCTGCATCTGGCGTATTTCCCAGTATATCACTTCTTCTTTATGCCTTTCCGCTAGTCTCTTTCCGAATAACGTTGCTGGTAAAGGAATTTTCGAAGGACAGAAACCAGCTTAATCGGTACAAACTCATGGTTATCAAAAACAAATAAGCTGTTCGGTGAATTCTCTCAACATTCTACGCTTGATACGCTCGCTATTCCTCTCTACAGCACTAAATTGAAGTTATGAATGATTTATCACATTTTTGACAGCTGTGCGTTAACAGTCCGTTTCAGAAGAAAAACACTATTTTCACTCGTGTTATTAATGTGTGGAGGCAGTTTCTGCGAAAACTTTTCTATCGATGTCCTCTTTACTGAGTTAAATCCATTAAGATATATGAATGAATTTCTTTTCCGTTTTTCTACTATTACTAAGTGTTTTTACGGCGTGAAGAGAAACAATGCGACACAAGGCAATTGCATTTTAATAAACAAATATATTGTAAAGTTGAATTTGCGTTATGTATGAAAAGAAGAAAAGCAGAGTGAAATAAGTACAGTTTATTCCTAGTTCATCTTAGAATGGGCTGCGGGAAATGTTCGAAAACAACATCAGTAGAAACACCTAGTGTTACGCCAGATACAACGTATCAACAACAAAACTTGTTTGACTTGGCATCTGCAGCATTCGGTCCTAATTTCTACCTTGTGCCTGAAATTGACATTCCTCCATTTGCAAATACTACAAGAGGTATGATTCGACTTTTTATATGCACACGTACACTATCCCGTATCGAAAACTGCTGGTCCGTGGCAAACTTGTAGTACAAATACCAGAATGTCTTGAAGTAAAAATGAGCGTAATACTCGAGTAAAGAAATTTTCCAAAAAAAACGATGCTTCCGAAAAAATCGATGTTTTGATACGTCAATAGTAGAAAAAATATAATGAAGACCAAGTTCTGCTCTACCATCGGTTTTTGGACGCTGAGAATTTAAACAGGAAAAAAATCTTAATCGAACAATCTACATTCGGCTTGATTTTTTAAGCCCTCTACTATATTCTTTTGGAAACGTTGTTTTTTATCTCTACAGACTTAGAAAACGCATACAATGAAGCTGTGGTACGAGATAATGAGAAAAACCTTGAAAGTTTTTCTCTGCTATGGTGTGATAGAAATGCGAATTCCCTGGTAGAAAATCGACAAAGACAGAAAGACTTACGTCGATCAATTAATTTCTTGAAAACTTTTGAAACCCCCGAAGAATGTAAAAACTACATTCTATGTCGTGGAGATGAAAAAATTGTGTTAATTGTATCTGGTGCATTTGGGCAACATCTGGTACCTGATATACACCATCTGACACAAATCGTTGCTATTTACATTTTTTGTACTAATAAAGAAGAACACGAACAATGGTCAAGTGCTTTCGACAAAGTGAGCCTCCGTGTGCACTTGAAATTATTTAGAATGATATAAAAAAACAATGCTTCTCTTTCTCTTCTTCAGGATCAAAGCTGTAGTTACCACATCAGAATATTTAATCAATAAAATATCACAGGATCAAACTTTACGTCAGAAAATTGAAAATACAGTATTGCCCTTTAATGTCTACGACCCAACAGAGCAAACACACATGGATCTTGGCAGTGAAAATAATAAATTCATGTGGTTTCAGTTACTTACTGAAGTTCTAATTAGAATGAGAGACGAAGATGCTTCAGCTGGTTTAAATGAATTAATTCTAATTTGTCAACGTCAATACAGCGGAAATCCGACTCAGCAAGATATTATCGATGAACTAGAATGGTACGAATCGAGGAATGCTGTATGGTGGTATACACGTGATACGTTCATTTATAAAACTCTCAATCGAGCTCTAAGAAAACAGGACTTTGAAACGTTGTGGACATTTTGCTTTCTTATTCGCGACTTGTATAAACAATTGAAGGAGAAACGAAAGTTTACAGAACCAATAGTTTACGTTTATCGTGGTCAACTAATGTCTCTCGAAGAACTAGAGAAACTAAAAATAAACGAAAATAAATTTATATCTGTCAATACGTTTTTTTCGACCACTCGTGAGCGAACACTTGCACTCGTATTTGCTGGTGCTGGTACTCATAATACAGATGCGAATGTAGTATCCGTTCTGTTTGAGATTGAAGTTGAAACTCAACTGGAAGACGCTAAACCGTTTGCTGACATCAGCGTTCTCAGTGATCTAGGCCCAGAGGAAAAAGAAGTTCTTTTCATGTTCGGAAGTGTATTTAAAATAGTGAATATCTCCAGAAACGAAGACGAAAAACTATGGATAATTAAATTGGTTTTGGCAGGTCAAGAAAACAAAGAGCTGAAACCTGTATTTGAGTCAATGAAGAATGAAATTCCGCAGAAAACTGATCTTCTTGTTCTTGGAGGCGTATTTCGTAATATGGGAAAATCTAATGAAGCAGAGAAGTATTATCAACGGTTATTAAATTCATTGTCGGAGACTGACCCGAATGTTTCCAGGTGTTATGAGAATCTCGAAAATATTGCTATGGATAAGGGCGATTATGATACAGCTTATTCATACTGTACAAAAGCGCTGGAACTACAAATGAAATCGCCGACCGGTGATCTATCAGTGCTCGCTTCAACGTATACACATCTAGGAATTATTTTGCGAAGCAAACGAAACTACCACGAAGCATTAGAAAACTTTTCAAATGCTGCAGCTTTACTTCGGCATGCAGTTGGAGAGGATCATCTAGATATAGCGATGGTTTATAATAATGTGGCTAATTTATACACGGAGCAGAAGAATTACGATTTAGCTCTTTCTTATTTTAATAAATGTCTCCAAATTCGAATGAAACTACTTCCAGAAAATCATCCAGAAATAGCTTCCATTTTGACGAATCTGGGTGTTATGCACGAAGTGAGAGAAGAATATGAACTAGCCATGAGTAGTTATGATCAAGCATTAAAGATTCGGTTAGCTTGTACCCCAGATAGTTATTTGACTGCTGTCATATATAATAACATTGGCAACCTGTACAGAGTTGGTTATCAAAATTATAGTGAAGCATTACTTAATTACGAAAAAGCATTTAAAATGTATCAAAATGCTTCATTACCATCAAATCATCCGTATGTGTACGCCAATCGAAATAATATTGATCTCGTCAAACGACAAATAGCTTTTAGACAGCTCTTCAACTAACTTTTCTTCAGCATTTTTGTTGCTTCAGAAAGCTTTTATACAGATAACTTCTGCTGTTAACTTTCAATGTGTATTTGTTTCTTTTATTGCCAACCGTAATAAACGGCAACTCTTTCATCCTTTTTGAACTCTCATTTATTTCATAATAAACAGCCTTGAACCTTTCACTCTGATATATGCACGATGTTGTAAACATATACATATATATATAATATTACTGTACAGTGATTTGAAGAGGAAAGTTATCTATGAGCATGACTTTAACTATGAACTTTATTCATTTAAAATTTATATTTTTATTAATATTAAATTTTACAAATGCATGGCGAATGCCAGGATTCGAACAAATAATGCTACATGACGCGGGTAACTCACAAACGATGTTTTTATACTTAAAGATGGATAAGTCCGTTTTTCGGTGCAAAAAGGAATTTCTAACGTTTTAATTAAAAAAAAAGTCTTTCAGTATTGCGCGCAAATACTTTCAGAACCTTTTGCAGTAGGAAATGCACTCACTCTAAAGCCCTTCTATTACAGGAGTGATAATCCAAAAAAGTTGGCAGATTGTATCATTTTAACAAAGCAAGCGTGATTGGTGTAACAATACCTGTCACAGCGATGGGTTGCTTTTTATTACCGGTAGAAATTTTCAACAAGCAGTACAATGAATCGAACAGTAGACCTAAGTATGCAAAGTTTAATGACAGTCTAAACGATGTGCTCTTAGCTGGTCACTTCTATCCCACTTGGTTTAGCAGGATAGTGTCTAAAATAGCTCCAGAAAAACGAACCGCATCTACGTCGACCATATACAGTTTAGCTGAAAATTCTGAATCTATGTTTTCCTTTCCATATTCCACCATGCAAGTTGGCCGTATGAACACTAACGAACTATTAGATATAATCAACGCAAATGCTCACGTTATACGCACTTCGACATCGCATCTGTTTACGTTGTCAAACAACAACAGTTTACATATGGAACCATTGATTCCATGTTTGGAATGCGCCGAATATGAAAATATTCGACGATCTTTTTGAGACATGTTAAATGGTAGACCTGCGCTGCGTTATTTATCTGGCCAGCAAGTCGCACAACTCATTCAAATATTACCGGAGAAATTTATGACAGAGGAAATTTCCACCATTTCACGCGACCTGTTATCAGAACTACTATTAATCTTCCAAAACTTTTATTTCATGTTGAAGTCAAATAGTTCACACGGCGCTGAGAGAAAGCGACATATTAGAAACATCATTATATTAAATCAGTTGTATAGCTCAATTTCAAGAACGAGTATTCCAGTGTTTGAATTAATTACTATGCCTTTCTTTTTTAACGGAAAATCGTTCGAAATAGAAAGTTTACCGAAATACATCGGGATAGATTTCAAGAATAACATTTCGGTAATGTGGCATACTATAGCACTTCTTTACCTCTTGTTATAAACCGTGGTGTCCCTCAAGGCTCAATTTTAGGACCACTTTTGTTTTTAATATTCATCGACGATATTTGTGATAATAAACAGTCGAAACTTCGTTTATTTGCGGACGA